GGGGGGGTTGGTGTGCTGGGACGCATCCCGCTTGCTATGCGTCACTCAACGCCATAATACATGCAATTGAACTCAAATGAACACCATTTAGGAGAAGATGATATGAGCTTTATTATTGTGACGCCATCAACTCCTCCTCCGCAAAAATCCCCCACCGTAGTAGAGGCACTCAACCCTTCCACTCATACGTCACTCAGATTGAGGTAAGTTACTCAGTGTTACTTTCCTAGTTCTACTTTAAATATTTCCTGATAGCACGGTAAAGCCGTGCAAATTGCTCATCTACCCTCCTATTTCGCCCTTCGCACGTTTTTGCCTCTCCCTCGGAAAAATAAATAAATAAGCCGATCCCCTTTCCAGATTCATTTTCTACCGAATGTACTTAGCTTATTTCCCACTTAGGTGCGAGCCCGTCCACACGCTTTCTACTCCGCCCCAGTGTCGGTTACCACAGAGGAGTGCCAATTTTTTTTATTTTTTTTTTCAAAACAGACAATATTGTTGACGCCCGTCACAGGTTACGGACAATTCAGTACGATATATGTCTCGGGCAAAGATATCCGGTTTACCAAGTGCACGTAGACTATTTCCTGCTCAAATACAGGGCCCCTCCACATATTTCTGCCGATGTCGGTCGCGTGTCTTACTTCGGAGAAAAGTTTCACTTTCCAAGATCCTGATCAGCCAGAAATCCGATGCCCACACAGGTGTCTTGGGTATTGTTATTCAGTGCCGATGCATCGGCCTAGTCTTACCAGGTCGCAGAGCTCGGCCTTTCTTTTCATGTTATTTAAAACGTGTCCAGAAGATTCAGCATCTTACCCCTGAACTCAGGATTTTTCCGCTTCCGTATCCATCTTACCCCAACTTTGATCACTTTGCCTGGATACCTCAATTTTCGAAGTTCTTCTGCCAAGGACAGAGTCGCCCATCATACCATACCCCTGTTGTTGCAGTTCTGCGTAATTCTAAGAATTGTATTGGCCACCATGGCATATTTTGTCTGCTTAGGACCGAACGACTGAAAATCTTTGTAGGTCCAAAACTGCAGATCTCTGTCTTTTCAGATCGAGTTGGCGTTTTTGAACTTATGTGAAGCCAAGATCTTTCCCTCTTTCTCAGCAACGACCAACCGTGTTTCCAAGATGTCGAGGACCTCGTTCCCCAGATCGGTACGTTCTAGGACCAGACCAGCAGGGTAACATGTTACGATTCTGTTAAGCCGCGCTTCAACAAGTTCCCTTCCCTCTGGCTCATCCGATTGAAAAAAGGATACAATAAGGAGGTCGTCAATGTATCTTTTGCCGGAAATCCATTTTGCATCAGTTCCTAATGACTGCAGAAACTGAAACTCCGCATACATGCACATTACACATGCGAGAGGGGGGCTAGCCCTTCCTCCCATAGGCAGGCCCTTCTTCTGTCTAAGTATTTTATCAGCCACCAAAAGTACTGTGTTTTTTAGCTGAAATTTTGTCAATGTGCTTAGTTTGCTTAAACACACCAATTTCCAGCCAACCTCACCTCGTGCTTTTCCGAATTTCGCCAAATGGTTTCTCATGTTAATGCTTATCCATTTTGCCGAAAATTGACCAACTATCCATTCCACTGCCCAACTGATTTCTGGATGTGGAAGTTCCGTGAACATTTTCTTAATATCATAAGTTCGAGCAATCATACCCAGACTTCGTTGATTTAATCCTTCGATTTCTGCTTTTAAATCGGACAATGTTCTCTGATTAAAATGAGGAACTTTTGTTCTTTTAATCAGTTCATTGAGGATCAGCGATAGCACTCCTGAGGCTGATCTGAATGGACTCTGATATGATGGCACAATCGGCCGCCTTTTCTTCTTATCCTTTTCTTTTGGCATGATGTACGCATGCTGAAGATCTCCTTTCTTATCCCATACAGCAATCTTATCCAACCCTGCACCTTTATATTCATTCCTCGCATTATTGAGAACCTGATTTTTAGCTAAACTGATAGCCTCATAGTTATCATTCATCAGAAACATCTTGTTCAATCCTTCCTCGTAGATCTTCGGGCATTCGGACCAAGTTTCCGTTTGATTACGGTCTAATGGGGACATAACAAGTCCAGAGAAGGCTTGTTTTAGCCCGTTTACATACTCACTAAGTATGGAGTCTGCTTCTTGTCTTTCTCCCTTTTTTAGCACTTTGCTCAGATTAATGCCAAAATCTCGGTCCTCCTCAACAGTATTACGAAGACAGGTTAGGGCCTCATTACATGCGTTGTTGATTATAGCACGAATATCCATGTTTCCAGGAAAAGGCACATTTTTAGAGTTATAAACAAAGGGATCAATCGCAGCAATATCACTAATTTTAACCGAGACATGCCCATTAATCCTAGGCAGGTCAAAGTCTGCACAGCAGCACTCGAAAGTGCTGCATCGTGCAAAGGACTTATGATTATGCAGCAGGTCGCCAACCGTCTTGGCTTTCAAACAGACGTTTTTTGTCCGCTTCGCATACAGGTTAGCAAGTGCCACTGGTTTGACATTTCCCTTAATCCAACTCTTCACTTCCTGATCCGTTTTTGCTTTATTGATTGTTGTGCAAAACTGCAACTTCACTGCTATGTTACACCGAGGGTTTACCCCGTACTTCTTTTTCATTATGTCGGTTAGAACACCACGGATTATTTGACGCCCTTGCTTTTGGTTTACAGTCTTAACGGCCCTATTCAATTCCATTAGTTCATCAAGATCACATTTCCACAGGTCTTTACGTTTCCAAGGTGCTCTCAGAAGTGCAATCAGTTTCGCTTTCTTCTGCTCAATTCTTGTTATAGTTATGAACAACTGTGTGACATGCCACTCCCCACCCTGTTCAAATGCAAGTTTAGCATCTTTCAATAGGAGCTTTACACCATCGACTTCGATTTTTTGCTATGTCCAAACAACAAGGCAATCATGCGCCACGACTTCAACCATCGTTCCCCTGGGTTATTATTAATTATCATCGGGTTCTTCTTTTTACTTTTAGCAAGGGACTTCAATATGCGTAGTAGATCCGGTTTTTGCACAGCATGCACGTCGACACAATTAAAAAACAGAGGTTCGAATGGGCGATTCACATTAACATCTCTCTTTTTCTCATGTTTCCCACGTGCTCGACGCTTACTCATTCGGACAGAGTTTCCTACTATGTTCTAACCTGGGTTGTTTTCTTTAATAATTGTGCGTCCTAAGCCATTAATGGCCACCTCATTACCAAAACAGATTGAAATAGGTACATAGTAATCAATGCCAACTTTTCGCATATATGTATGTACTTTTTGTTTACTATTCCTGGTCACCGCTCTTTGATGCTCAGACCATCGTTCCCTTAAGGTGCGGATAGTTCTACCAACGTACACCGCTTTTATGGCTTAGCGACATCAACACATACACGCAGCCACTTCCATTCAGCAGCTGGTAACAACGCTCTACACCCAGATTTACCCAGAAACGGACGTAGGTTCTGCCCCACGCAATGTCGCCTCTGATACTCGCAAGGATGATAATGAGAACGTGAATGCGCTCCAGGAGAATGTGTGTCTCCTTGCCCGCTCGTTGCTTGGCCATACAGATGCGTTTTGTGGCCCGACGTAGTGATCTGAGGCTCCCACCGGTTAGTTTCCCTTTACGTCATTGCTACCGGATGCAGCGTTCTCGCCGTCTTCGCTCCACGCTTCATTCTTCTTGGAGTGTTCAGCCACCACTGCCGAGGGGTCAGCATTAAGCTGATCAGCGTAGTTTTGAAGATCAAGCCGAGCCAACTCCCAGGCGCCCATCTCCTTGAAATATCGTATGGATTTTTGTTTACACAGTTCCATGAGACGTGTATAATGTAACGAGTTGTAGAATTCACGCCTGATCTTCATATACGCCGCCAAACCCCCTTCATCGATCTCTTCTTCGTCTTCAGTGCAGTCTTTGTTCTGCTCAACGTCCACGTCCTCGGCTTCTTTGGCTTCTTCACTGTTCCCGGTCTCCACGGCCGGGGTTTCAACAGGTTCAGGTTCTGACTTGACTTCAGATAAGACCACCTTCCCTTTTCCCTTTATATCGCCGATCCCGTTCAGAAGTGAGGCCAGCATGAGCTTGATGTCCATCAGCTCACTGCTTCCTTCCATCTTAGCGTGCAGGTTCTGCTTTACTCCTGCAGCGCCTTCTTCATCTGAGGAAATATCTATCCTCTTGGTCCTTGATTTCAGTTTCCTCGTGATCAGGTCTTCACACAATTCGCTGCTAGGGAGCATACTGCCGGAGTGCGCTCTCTGCCTCTTTTCCGTTTCTCACTGCTCGATGAATCCATGCTCTTCTTCTCGGCTGCCGCGCTAAGACCGCGAAGCCTCTCGAGTTCTTCCTTCTCCTTGCTAGTAATCTTCGCCCTTTTATCCACTTCTTCCAATTTCTCCGTGATGAGCTTTAGCGAGTCGCCGAGGGTAGATGTGACCCATGCCTTCATCTCATCAGTTTTGTCACTCTTCTCGCTCTTCGAGTTTACGAGGTTCTCTCCACAGCTACTCTCAGATGGAATTTCCACAATTTCTGACGCCACTTCTATTTGATGTCGCGACTCTCTTCTTAGCTTCATCCAACGCCTTATCCATCTTAATCTCCTTAAAGATATCCATATATTCCTTCGTGAAATATGCCCGGTTCCCTGGACCCGGGAAGGCATTAGCGGCTGGTCCTTTTCTTCTGCCTTCAGCTGTTCCTTGCCCGTGATTACCGTGTCCCGCTTGGAGTGCTTGCTGCTGCCTATTCACTTGCTGACTTGGTGGGTTTGGCACACTCCATTGTTGACTCACCGGCCATTGGCCCGCGGGTAACCATGGTTGCACTCCCCATTGCCCCTGCAGGGGAACTTGGTATTGCATTGGATTACTCGGCATCGTTATTCCAGGTTGCAACGTCACGCCAGGAGGTGCTATCGATGATGTGCTGAACTGCTATTGTGGGATGATCCCTGGAGGCAGCGGATTGGAGGCCGGGTTGCGGCAGTAGCATTGTTGCTTGCGAACTGCGCGTTACTTCCTCTCTGAGGGTTTTGACCAAACCCATTGCCACCCTCCATCCAATATCTGCCGCAGTAAGACCAGCGACCGTGTCTTCCCACAGATTTCTTACTGCGCCCTCTCCCGTACATACGCACTACTGTAAGCAGTGAGATCGCCCCTCACGGATCCCGACACCAATTATCCACTTGTTCACGTCACTGCCACTGGTCATGCCAATTTTACTCCTATTAATATATACCAGCATACCAGCATTCGTATGCTTAATACGCTGAGTACCGACGACTACACACCTCTCGTGCGCTGCTCCGCCAGATTGGTCGTAACAATGTCTCCGCTAAAGCAGTGTACGAGCAATCACGATACTGAGCACCGGCAGCATCCGCACTTGCTACTCTCTTCAGCAGGACCTACCCTTGAGGGACTGACCTCTTGACACTAGACAATCGCCCAGACGGTTGCGGGACCTACCCTCTTCAGCAACCTGCGGGCATGAGTGGTAGGCAGGCCAAGGCCCTTGTAGCAACTGGCTTCCATTACTGGAGACCTGTAAACAGGTCAAGGGGTTTGATTTTGACAGCTGCTACGGACTTCAACGTCGAACTAATAAAATCATAAAAAGCAAAAGGTGGAAGAGGATCCCCCTTCTCCATCGATGCAATTCTTGTGGCCAGAGTCGAGGGAAGAAATATTCAGATGCCCTTTGGCACATAAAACCAATGAAGTCGAAGGACTCAAATCTCTGGCAAGTTTGGATGTCGCACTTCGCATTTCGCGGTTAGCTAGATCGTTCATGCCACCCTGTTGTATTTTCGCGCCTTCCTCTTGCGGCGTCGAGAATTTAGAGGGGGGTGGGGGGGCGGAGGGATTGGGTTTGGGATTGGAGGGGTTGTGATGACGGCTGGGGTGGGGTGAAAGACACTTGTTCTTAGTGTTAGGCCTTGTACTTTGCTCTAGTGTTTTGCAGGGTTTTGAGACTAATTCGAATCAGCCGTTCACTCCACACTGCACAGTTCGATCGATTAAACGAGCGTGTACCTCGTCCACGACACCGATGGCTACATGAAGGCGGAAAGGACTGTTCAAGGAACGACTGCATGAACCTGACTATGGACGCCGGACAGACCACTGACTTGCATTTTCACCAAGAAGACCTGCAATTGTCCCCAATGAGCTCATCCAACAGTTCGTCGTTCCACAGACCAGTGCTGCGTTTACTAAAAAACGTAGTCTCGCTTTTCGTGAGAGCTTTGGGGGTAGCATCCATTTCCCTAGGGCTTTGGCCACACCGTCCGCAGGCGAAGAGCCGTCTGCCTCCCAAAACGAGTTTCACGTTTCTCGCGAGGTGCGCCCCTCAACTTCGGCGGACAACTGGTATGTGCCGATGGCTGCTGTTGTTACAACATGTCGCCGGAGGAAGTCCGAAAGGTTCGACAAGCATTTTAAACAAAGAGTTCTAAATAGCGAATGGAGTGGTGGATGAAAAGCCTCAAAGATTTCACGTTGAGTAAAGGTGGACCGAAATGTGTCCGCCCTATAGAGTACGAACGTCACATATGCATCAAGATGTTCTCGGTGTCTCTCGCAATACGTTTTACTGCTATAAAAAACGATTGGACAATGACTTTGTGCGTTGCGAGCACGAACAGACGAGTAGACAAAACCAAAAGATAAGACGGTCGCCATGCTTGCCAGCATGAAAACATTCATAGACTGTCATGGGGATAGCATGCCGAATGAGGTGCCTCATCTCGATGGCGTTTACAGACCGAAACTTTGATTGCCAGCTGCTTTTAGGAATCGTTCGATTTAAGACTCAATCAAATCAGACTTCGTGGCTGTCGACCTCGAAGTAGTATCCGAGTCCAACTTTTGTAAACTGTGGCAGAAACATTTTTTTCACATTTCACTCGGACACTCGAACATATTCACAAAGTGTGTCGTCTGTCCAGAACTGAAAGAACGTATACAGTACGCTGCTCTTCCTCGAGATGGAGAACGAGCTCAGGAGGGTTGAGGTTCGTTGTCGAAGCAACGAATGTTGGGGATGCAGTAAATTGTGCACTTGGCGTATTTGTGCGCTTGTGGAACTTATAAGAGTTCAAGCACAAGAAGAAACTTTATTTTCAATACAATGAGCATTTAATTTACTCCTTTCGTAAGAACAGGGTTTCCATCTTCAAAGAGTACGAGGTGCTTGGACTGGACACCGAGATATGGGACGGGAGCAGGAAAGACGTTGCCGATTCAAGACTGTTTAAGGACCGTTCATCATATATGGGCTGCGAGTATGACAAAACTATGTAGGAAACATCAAAACTCGTGAATCATAAGAAGTCCCCTGAGTGGAAGAAAAATGCTCTGTCTATGTTCACTGCAACAGGTTGAACCGTTGAAGAGCAAGAAGATTGCACTTGCTGAAGGCATTGGAACATTGTATGGAATGATACGTAGGCAACGATCAGCTACAGATGCAAGTGAGCAGCGCAGAGTTGCACGACGTTTTGAATCATACGAAGTGCCACACATGCGTTCTCAAGTTATGTGAATCAGTTGATCTCAAGCAGTCGACACCTCAAGCGTTCGAGTCTTTGCATTTGCTTCTGCTATGCTTGAGCCCGTCCTACTTGACACTCGTTGCTTTTGTGTCGTGGCAGTAAGACCTCTCGTTTATAACCGGCCTGCACCATCTTTCTCTCGTAAAGGCACTTATAAGGAAGTGGGTGAGGAGGGTTCACTAGGAGAAACATTTTCGTGTTGGGCACAATATATATGTGGCGGAGGATCGCCTTTACATTCCATTAAAGGGCGACCACTTGTGGGAAAGCACGTATGTCATCTATAAAGGGAGGGTCGTGGAGGGTGCCGCCGCAACTGTTTGGATGCCTAGAAAATTTACCCCCACGGACATATCTGAGATTCCCTTCACGTCATGCGATTGGTCTGTGACTCCACCTGAGGGAGATGGCAAGGTCTACAAGGACATGAAACACAACCCAACCCAACTGGGCGGTCCTATGGAATTCCTTTGCAAAAAGGGAGAGGGTGTTGAATTCCTTGGGAAGTTGCCTGCAAAGGTCGCGTGGGAGGTTTTCAAAAGCAACCGCCACGTGGTCGCGCTGGAAGGGAACTTGGAGTTGTTGCAGTTCCCGATGGACTTCATCAAAAGCGGGATGAACACCGGGGCCAACAACTACGAGTTCGTGGTGAAGGAGGACAAACAGGAGCGGGTGTGGAACCCCTCTGTGGACATGCCCTTTAAGTTAACTGAGCGGAAGAGAAACAAGATCTACAGGTTCCTCTTCTTGGATGCGCGCCCGAAGAAGGACGATGATGCTAAGTACATCCGCCAAAAAGTGCATTTGCTGATGTTGTAAGGCAACTACCAAGGCGCATTGTGCAAGAATGCGAGGTCCTTTGTTGTCAAGCTTGGGTGCCTGTACTTCATCGAATCTGAACCGAAATTGGAGTTGGGTAGTTACGCAGCCGTGATCTCCACCGACAACGACAAAGAAACCAGGGTCGTTTATGATGCAAAATCAAAAGTGGATGAGAGCGACAATGAGAGCATCGACCTTCGTTACGACCTGGTTCCGAGGTAACACGCCGCGGTCCTACGGGAAGCCAAGCCAGAAGTGTCCGTTGCGCCCACTTCGACCCCTGCGAAGACCCCCACTTCGTCGCTAAGGAGAATATTTTTTTTCCGCCTTTTCAACCGTATTGTGTCCCGGGAGTAAGGTTCAGCAAGATCATCCTTCTTGGAAGGATGATAATATTCAGTTCGAAGGACAGGCGCACACTCGGTCGACTGAGGCTGATTGGGGCCACGACATGATTTGCCACCCAGGCCCAGGAGTTACACAACCAGCGATCAAAAGGGGCGGGTGGGTCATGGCCCTGATGAGGGTGCAAGGGGATGGGTGACTTGTGATCGAAAGTCCAAGGCCAGGTTCCTTGACACTGCCAGAGTGATGGTTGTCGAAAAAGTCAGGTTTGAAAATCAAGGCGTTTCATATCTTCACCCTTTCATCGAATAAACTTATGATCATCTGTACCACGAACTTCACGCTCGTCGGTGGTTGGAACTAGATCACGGTATTTACGACCTTCACACAAGCCGTTCCGAGGGAAGCGTAAACGGGAAGATGCTGCCTCCACCCGGGGCCGTGGGGACTCCAAGGGTGGATCCCTTCCGACAGTGGAGGTGGTGGGCACGACGGTCATTTCACCAGCAAAGGGCACTCATGAAGTGGAGACGGTGGGCCTCATGACCTGGGCACGAGGACAGAAGG